TACTTTCTGTGTACGAAATAACATCATACATACATACACACATACCCCATTTAGTGCCAAGTCAATTAGTGAACCCCTCTACTGTAGAGAGTTCCAAAGACAACTACAGCATAGAATAGTAGAGCCAACTTTGAATGACGACATCGATTCATACTCAAATCCATGGCTGCAAGTAACATGCAAACACTTACCCCATATCCATATCCATAAGTAAAAGACCCTACGTGAACGTTTTACTCCACCGTGGAAAATGTCGGAACCAATTGTATTTAATGCGAGTGCCCCCCAAAAGACTGTCCCCCTGTTATACTTGAGCAGTACGCACTAGAAACTATCAATGGGCACCTTGAAACTTTGCCTGATGCATATGGATGCTATACCGACGGACTCTTGCAGTCTGGAAGCAGAACAGGATGCGCTTTTATTGTATATAAAAACAATATTTTGCAGCACCAGAATTATATGGAAGTTCATGACTGGGCTAGCACTAAGTGAGTCAGCAGGTATACTCATAGCCACTAAGTTTCTACTGAATCAAGGCTTAAGGGTAATCATCTGTGATTAACAGAGTGCTCTCCTAGCTCTGAACACTATAGACAAAGTTGCAGGAAATATTGCAAATAACATCATGATAAATGTGTACCATGCAAAGGACCAAGCAATGATATACGTTTTATGTGGATACCATCGCATGTTGGAATCCAAAGGTATGATCATGCTGACCGCCTAACCAAATAAGCATGTGACAAGCAAAGTATGGATACAGATCTTGGAGTACCTCTTGCTAGGATTTCACAAATCATTAAAACTTCCTTCAAAGACAACTTGACTGAGTTGATTAATTTTCAAAAGCCTTGAAGCTGTAGCATAAAGCACTATGGCTGGTCTATGCAAGATACATTCATCTGTGGCTTATATAAAACAAGAACAAGAATTAGACTCGACTATAAATTGTTAATGATATGTTCCAAATCAAAAATGTTAGAGTCTAAATCACAAATGGAATGCTATTATATAATGCTATGACCATGCATCAGTGTATCACAGCTTACCCACGCCAGTGCCAGTGCCAGGCCTAAAATAAAAAAAAAACTAACCACACCTTAAAGCCAACAACCCTTAAACCTCAGAACAGGCTATACCTCTCCTTCTCTCTCTTGGATCTCCATAAACCTCTCATCCGTTGACATCTGATTAACGAAAATAAGTAAAAACGTCGGAATTACCGAAGAGGGAGAAGAAAAGGAGGAGTGGAGAAATATGGGGAAAGAGAAGGGGGAGGAATGAGAGTCATGAGGAAGACGAATAGGAGAAGAAGAAAAAAAATGCAAGGTAGACGATGAGGAATAGAAGACATAAAGGGCATTGGAAAGAGAAGAGTGGAAGTGATAATGATGTTCAGAACCTCTTGGTCATCATACAGCGGAGTTGTACCAGGACCTCAGAAGCGTCTTTATCCCGCCAGCGAATTATGACGCAGACTAAAAGGTGTTGCCATTGAGCTGACATTGTCGCTCTGCCACGTTGACGAAAATAACCCCATGGGAGGGACTTAACACCTAGAACTGAACATCTAAAATCTAAAACTGAACACCTTAAACCTAAAACTGAACACCTAAAATCTAAAAATGAACACATAACCTAGAACTGAACATCTAAAACCTAAAACTCAACCCCTAAAACCAAACACTAACGACCTAAAACCTAAAACTAAACACCCAAAACCTAAAACTAAACACCAAAACCCCTAAAATTGAACATATAAACCCTAGAACTGAACACCTAAAACCTAAAACACAACCCCTAATACTAAACTAAACACCCAAAACCTAAACCTGAACACCAAACACATAAAACTGAAGACAAAAAGAAAAACAAAAAACAAACTAAAACTGAGCATCTAAAACCTAAAACTGAACACATATAACCTAGAACTGAACACCTAAAACCTAAAACACAGCCCCTAAAACCTAAACTACACATCCAAAACCTAAAACTGAACACCAAAAACCTAAAACTGAACACTCTAAAACTCTGTAAAGTGCAATGTGATCCGGGTGTCATTTTTTTTAGTGGCTGCTTTAAAGTGAGTGAAAAAATGTCGCCGTGGCTCCACCCATTCATCACAAGACGCGGCCCGTTAAAAGGCTCGATGCGATGCTGATATTTCATAATGCATCAGAATTTACAAGTGCAAGTGCATTGCCTAGTAGAGCAATAAATTAGTAGATTGATAGATAGATGAAGTTAATAAAAAATACGATACATAAATAAATGAGATAAATAAACGACTGAGAAAAACATAAAAGGATTTACTGATGAACTTTACACAAATCAATTAAGTTAATTAGCTAAAATATTAGATTAAGTTACCATGTACCTCGCCCTTGGAGGGAAATCAACAAAAATAGGGCTATATCTAACTCCCAAGTCTACAATACATTTTAATGGTCAGTTGCCAAAGACACCCATTAATCCTATAAACACAGTAATGAACGCTTAGACTCCTGTTCCTTAGGCTAATAACTATAATAATAATATCAACATATGAATAAAACGTCAGAAGACAGCCTGAAACAATCATTTTTCTTTACAATGTCAAGGAACACTTCAACAGTCTTTAACAACAGTTGAAATAAAAACAACAGTTGAAACAAAAGACCAACGGGTTTAGTTCGCGCCTTAACCTGTCGCATTACATAAAAACACATACATACATCTATTTCTCCTCTTCTAGCTAGACGATGATTAACAATAATTTATATCACTGCTTCTTGACATACACACTAGCGCTTCATAAACTACTAATCGACAACCTTAATGTATATATGAAACATTTTGTTTTCAATTTCGACTCCACCTTCCGCTAATGCCATGTTTAGGGGAAAAAAACTCCATAAACAATGACAACAACTGCTAAATTATATTATAATATA